CATTTTTAAGGTTTATCAGAGAGAGTGGCGGATAAAATAACTTGTTATATATATATATATATATATATATATATATATAATATTATAATATATATATAATATATATATATATAATATATATAATGTTGTGTGGTTCTTTTTCTATGATCTCACCAAATTATCCTTCACTCTGTATGATAATGTTTCAGGATTAAATTTAAATAATAAACATCTAGCTGTTTTCTCATGAGGGAAAAGTTCTATGAATTCAATAGAATAATTATATTTTGGCACACATGTAACTCTTCCATAGATTGAGAGAAGTATAATTAATTTGAAATCCAACAGAATGTCCTAATTTGGCGAGTATAAATTATTTCACGTGTTCAACCATTCCATCCAGAGCACAATTGAACTATCACACCGACAACATGAAAATGTAGGTCTCGATTACAAAAACAAAGTCATATTACCTGGGAATAATCAGTGATGAACACGAATTTTACGATGGGCTGGTATAAACGATGAAAAGAAGTAAGTTACTCATAAATGTTCATAAGGAACAAGACAGGTTGAAAAAAGCTGAAAATTGTTGTGACCTCTAGTGCATATATTTATTCACTAGAAAATTAATGAGAGTTTTGATTTCGTCTCATGTGTACTTATCTATAATTTTTTTCTAAGATAAAATTGCTGATATAATAAATCTATAATATATGGTAAGTTCGTTTATTAACTTTACTAGAAAAAAGCAAAGGCACTACATTCATCAGTTTGAAAGCCAATGTTCTAAAATCTATATAAGGAATCTTCTTTGGTGAACTGCAAGGAATTAATATAGTATAAACACTCACAAACTCTTGTACCTTGTTAGAACTCATAGCCTCATCTATTTATACTATTTAATGCATAAAGTCAAGAGATATGTTTTGGACATTTAGCAGCAAAAGCAAAAAGTGAGCCAATATTATATTACAATTCAATACTAGTCTTGAGCGCAATTCTGGAGAATGTCACGAGAAGATGCTCTCGAATGAAAAATATAACTTGCAGCTTCTCTAAATTAAGTGAGAGTAAGGAGAGATAAAGGAGTTAGTAATGGTTTAAACATTTTGGACGTTTTTTAAAAATTAAGTTGTGCCAATTGCACTTAATAGTATTTTTCCTTTCTTTACGTAACATAGGAGAATTACAATAATCGTTTTTGAGCGTAGTTTCATATTTAATCAGATATCATATAATTATTATCCATTTCGTGTCACAATTAATATGCCATAACCTTTCAATGTGCCTATATATTTGTGACCTACAGGTAAAAATAATTGGTGAAATTCTAATGCCTGTCACTTTTAAGCTTTTTAAGGTACTAATTACTCCCTTGAACTTTAACCAGGTTAATTATTTTAAATATTATTATAGTTGTTATTTAAAGAAATTTATATTTACTAAAATACATCAAACAAGGTAGACGTTGAATGCTGTGAATTTTGGCGCAGTAAAGGGGCCCGAACACACATGACAAAAGGATAAGACTATTTTAGGTATATTTTTAACTACACTAATATTATATTTGTTCTCACAATATTCCCTGTATTGAGAATTTTATTAATAAAATAATTGTTTCTCAGGAAAAAGGTGGATTTTGATGGCCACATGTCAACTCATGGAGAATTGAAAGAAAACAGGCCTAATTGGCTTGATTATCCAGTTCAACCTCCCCTGCAGTCTAACCCTAAAATGAGTGCAAAACAACATTACCTAAGGGTAGCACGTTATGTGGCTGGACACAGTACAAATGTCAGGCAAGGAAAAAAGCTGAAAATTGCTCTATTAACAAAAAATATTTTATCCTCATGTATACATAATTTTTTTTTAATGTGAAATTGTATAATATATGTAGTTTTACTAACTTTACAGAAGCAAGGACTCAGACATAGACCCATTTCAATATCATGATTCTTGGAATCAAGAATATGATACCAATACAACTCTGACTGCAAAGCAGCATTATCTAAATCAATCAAGATATGTTTCTGGACATAGTACCAAAGTGCCGATTCAGAATGCCAATGCTCCATACAGTATTCTCAATGGAGGTAGATGTTTTAATATTTGAGTTTTACTAATTAAGTGTGAATATAAATGTATTCTTTTCATGTAAATAGTAAAATGGATGTTTTGGGTATACAACAAATTACATTGCAAGTTAATGCAAACTCTCCAAATATTTGCCACAGGTAAAAGAATGTTTGAAATTCTTCCTTCCTTTTCTTGAAGGCAGCAGAACTTTGCGGTATTGACTCAATATAGGTACTATCAAGGGACGGGAGATACCTGGAGAGAAAAACCTGATATGCCACTGTGCAGGTCCTCATCGGATCTCACGTTTCGGTGGGGAAGAAACACCGCCACCTGCTGAGATATAACATGCAATTCACTTATGGGACTAAATAATCACAAATGACTTGCCTGGAACACAAAATAATCAAATCAATAGACTGAGTGAGCAGGGTTTTGGGTTTTCACACAAAGTATTTTAGCATGAAATGCATTGGAAAATACGTGTTGCACAGACACATGGTTATTTTATGTAAATAAATGAAGTGTTAACTGATGTATATAGAGAAATCAAGTTGGATGGCATCTTGTAAAGAGAAATTTAAGACTGCCAAAATGAAACACCAAACTACTCACCTTGTCTCTCACTAGCCTTAGAAACGTCACACTTGTGGGCTGATCCTTATTTATCACAACAATTTTACTTCACCTACCCCAGCAGAGCCATCTCATGTTGAGTAATCTCAACTTTAAGCTATCCGACAAAGGTCTGTGTTATGCTTCGAAGCTACTACGAACTTTACCCACTCCTTCAGGCTTTATCCATTCATTTTGGAATTAATTCATAACTAATCATAATTATCTTATAATTAACTAATCATAATTAATCATTAACTAATTCATAATTTATGAATTAGACAGAGTTGGACTTAAGTCATTATATAAACACTGTTTCCTAAAAAGATACCAAGGAGTATTTCCCTTATCATCTCCCTCCCACTGGGGAAGGGGTGGAAGAGGAGAGAATTAAGAAATCTTATTTTAAAAAGGCCACAGAAAATTAGAATCAAAAACAGAAATATGAGCTGCTGGTAATAATTTTATTTCCCTTTTAATCACTGAACAACCCAGATTTATACAGCACATTTTCAACGCAATAAACAATAACTTGGTCCAAGTATTTATTATTATTTTCTGAACAACAATGGATATTTCTTCAAAGAACTTGTTGCAGGTTCTTCAGCTGTCAGCATGGCTCGTCAGAGTGGAGGAATACATGGGCGGACAGATTGGGCAGCAAAGTATGTTTTTATTAATAAACGAAAATATTTAGATTAACATTAGGTGTCTTATCAAAATTCTACAGACACATAATTTTGAATTTAATTCTGATATCGCATTTTTCATTCTCTTGATAAATTAAATTTTAAAAGTTTTGTGCCCCATTTCTCAAGACACTTTTAAAATATGAGAACAATATTTTGTGTCTTTATTTTTAAAAACTTCAATTTAAGTAGGAAAAGTTATTAATTGTTTTTTCTCTTTCAGGTACTTAAAATGAAGGTGTGGGTGCAAGTATTACTGTGATATAAAGTTAAACAGGTTAAGTATTTATGTGCCTGTTAATGCTGTAAGTGTTATTGGTGTGAAGGACCAAGATTATTTTTAATACACAAGAGTTTGGGCAGTTTTTAATCACTGACAACCATAATCCATTCAATTGCATGTGCCTCAGTTCTGTAAATAGATATATATATATATAATATGTACAACTGTTTTGATTTTCCAAATAAAGTACTATTCGTCACCACCATTTATTGTTTATGGTTCTTTAAATTTCTCAATATTTGAAGAGACTAGTGAGATACAGCAGCAAAATTGCACATTTTCTTGAATAATAATTCTAATTTTTGAAAATAGCAAACATTCTAATTTTTTTCGTCTTTCTACAATAACAATATTGAATATTTTTTCTTAATGAAATATGTTCTGCAAGGACAGTTCTTTAAATAAGGTGGCGTACAATTATTAGAAAATATGAATAGTTTTCGTGTAACTTGGCGTGAAATATAAGCAATTTATAAAAAAAATATTTTTTTCTGAAACGTCTGCAGTTTTTACTTTTATGTTCTTACGACCGTACTTCGTAAGAGCAGTTATGAAATTGTGTCCCGATAAACGACGAATTTTCGGTAAAGTAAAACACTTCCTCTAACATGCTGAGGAGTCAGAATTCATGTGTTGTGGTCCTTGATACCCAGAAATTGATTGGCGGCAAAACGTCTGTGCAGTAGCGTAAGGAACTGAGTGAGGGCCCGTCCGTAAAACTTATAAAGGTGTACAGCAATCACAACTAGTGTTATAACCTTAAATAAAAGAAATATCCTCTAAAAATAGGCTCTCTTTTTTCCGCCATGCGGGCCTCGCGGGCCTTGTCTTGCGGGCCTCGCGGGAGTTTCAAACGGATTTATTGAGGGTGCTTTACAAGAAGCCTTAAAGATATTTTCAAAATTTTCTCAAAAATGACAACCAATTTTGTTGTTTGAATTTTGTCCTTGGATAGCGTAAAGAGCGCAGATCTCATTTTCGTTAAAATCACTAATTTTTCGAAAACTGCAAAAGTTCCATTTATTCGGCGTCTTCCTACAACTGCACTATTAAAGATAGAGATTATTCTCCTTAACGAAATCTGTTCTTTAAGGAAAGATTGTGATGTAAGTTCATGTTTAAGTTTTCGAAAGTATTTGTAGTTTTCTCGTAATTTTGCGTGAAATATAGGCAATTTTTAATTTTTTATACATTTTTTTCTTAAAAACCGCTCCAATTTTTTTCTTTAAAATTTATTCTCGTAGAATATATCAAAGAACATTAAAAATGTGTTAATTTCATCTCCGACGAACTCTGTATTTTGGAAAATTTCAGAAATTAACATTTCAAAACTACAAAATTGAAGATATCTCCCGGGAGATATTAACCTTCAACAAAATGTATTCTAAATATTTTGTTTAAAAACGGATCAAGATCATCAATTATAAAAACTAAAAGTTTAATGAGTATTTGTGCTTGCAATTTATGCAGTTTCTAGTAACACACATTTTCTCAAAAACTGCCCCAAATTGTTTTAATGTTTTCCTCGTATAGAACAGAGGACGCTTCAAAATGGCTGTGGTATTATTTTCGTTGAACGCAGCACTACCGAAAATTGCAAAAGTTTCAAATAATGCGAGAAAGTTTGTGTCGATTTGCACCACTAGTTTTATTCGTTTTGCAGTTTCTCTTTCATTTTTACAGATGGTAAAATGCTCCATTAAATGAGGTTGCAAATGCTAGCCCACGCCTCACCATTAGATTTTGAATTTTCCCAGTTTGCCCGACATGCCATTTCCCGGTTTACCGAATTGACAACATTCATCAAGTACAAGGGGTTTCGAATCACAATGTAAGATTGTATGGATGTATGTATTACTTGGGCACCACAGCTCTTTAACTCCTTCTAAGGCCTACCAGCAGCGTCCGGCCTTGCGGCCATGGGTTAAGGAGTACGCGTGGTTAGCACATAACCATCCTTACGTTGTATTTTCTGGTATTCTCAACCTAAGAAGTGAGCTTTATCATCGTCACACAGCAATAGCTATTGGGACATTGCAAGGAAAGCGCACAATTAATGTTTGCCACGACCGGGAATCGAATCCGCGTTGCGCCGTAGAAAGTAAGTAAGCTAACCAACGAGCCAGAGAGGGCTGTACAAAGTAAGATAAGTATCGTGAAATCCCTTAACAATATTTAAGATAACAATTTAAACCATACTTTTGAAGTACAATCCTTTTATTTATTCTTAAAAGAATTACGAAGTGCAAAAAGCGCGTAGAAAAAGTTTGGAAAGTAGTGTTTTATAATTATATTTTTCACGGCCCCAAGATGCGTGTGGTTGCGTCAAAGTGTCATGAAAACTGCCAACTCAATTTACCCGCATTTTCCGACTTTCCCCTACAAATATTGAGTTTTATGCACAAGAGTATTTACTTATAAATGAAGTAGGCATGATCTACCACCAGTTCACGCGAGAAAACAAGCAGAATATAATTTTATACCTTGACTTATGGGGAGAACTTTCTTCTCCAACGACTATGTAAATTGAGAAGACCTTTGTCCCTGTGATGGCTGATTTCGTAAGAATAGATTTGGTAACCCTGTTGTAAACTGCACAAACGCGAGACTATGAAGAAAACAAGAGATATGTATTAAGTTACAATCAACTTAAAAAATAATTTCAAGCAGAACGAATTCAACGACTGTCTGGAGAAGAATTCTAGCGATTGACTTCCGACGGCGGATTTCCGGCACTAAGTTGAATTCAAACACCAGAAGAGAAATCCAGCGGCAGGCTGCTCCAACTGGCAATTTTACGTGGTTTCTCCGATCAACACATCAGCTTAGGTGGCTCAGGGAATCAACTAATATCACTGCAGTGCCTATGGAGTTCCTAGGATTCGAATCTCACGCTGGTAGGATTTTCGACACTGGTTGGATAGCTGGGTCGAACTTAGCCGTTGTATGGAGGAGAATTCTAGCGGCCAACTGCTCTGATCGGCAATTTTTCGTGGTTTCTCCGATTAACACAAGGCGAATGCTGGAGCAGTGCCCTAACAAAGGGGCCCAAATCGCGCGCGATCTTTCCTTCCTCATCCTTACACACACTTACAAGCACTATACTACCACACATATCGGGAGACCAGTCGGGAGCTTACAGCGTGTCCTTGCTGGTCACAGATGCCTGGTTGGGAAAAAATCCGCAAGCCGACATGTAAGTTGGTGTCGGATCTCGTCATTCAGTAGGGTAAGATCACCCTCATCTCCCATGGCAAAAATATGCACTTCACTTAAGGGACTAATGACCTTAGCAGTTGACGTGCCCGGAATTATTCATCAATCTACACTGGTGTTTGTGAAAATTGCAACACCCAGAGGGAATGGTCGGAATCACTTAAAAATCGGTGAATATGTAGAGCAGTGTACCCATAAAAAGTCATTAAATTTGCACGTCGGCCTAGCAGCACCCTACTTTATGTGATAGATCAGTTCACTGTTACGCCACACTCAGTCGGTGTAAAGCCGTCAAAAGACGTGCAACGTGCAAGCAGGTGCAGGCATGCCTCGTCGAGGGACGTCAAAGGACGCAATATCAGCATCTGAGTGAGTTCGAACAGGGCAGAATGATCGGTCTCCGGGAAGCAGGTTTCTCGTTCCGTGACATTGCGTCTCGAACGGAGCACGCTGCTACGACAGTGATGCGTGTGTGGAATCAGTGGACAGAGGAGGGTCGTACCCAGAGACGAGCGGGTACTGGACCACGCAATGTGACTACAGGTTGAGGTGACCGCCTTCTTGCCCGCATGGCTGTAATCACGGTGTGATCGTGTCTGCGTTGACGGTTCCACGACGTCTGCTGAGGGCTGGACTGGTGGCAAGCATTTCACTGCGTCGGATTCAGTTGACCAGAAACCTCCAACGCCTCATACAGCAATGGGCACGTGAACGTGTTCACTGGTGTGTTGAGTGGCAAAATGTGGTGTTTTCGGACGAGCCCCGCTTCAATTTGTGGTACAGCGATGGCCGCGTACGTGTTCAACGCTACCGTGGTGATCGCTATCTACCAGCCTGCAATGTTCCGCGCCATCGCGGACAAACGCCGTGTGTGATAGTTTGGGGCCCATTTGGCTACACTGTACGATCTCGTCTCATACGTATTGAGGGCAATCTGAACAGCAACCGCTACATCAGGGGCAGGGAAGTTTTAGAGCCCGAGGTACTGCTCCTCCTGCAAACAGCTCCTCATGCAGCTGTCAGCATGTGCACAGTTAGCAGGACAACATATGTGGCGAGGAATGTACAAGCTTTCTGCGAAGAACGACGGATACAGCTTGTTTCCTCTGCAGGTATTTTATGGAGGTACAGTCATGTAATTCTAATAATTTATATATTATAGTATTCCTAATCTGTGAAATAAATTTCATTGTAATAGTATATCTTCTTCTTGATGTTGCAAGTTTCACAAACACCTGTGTATTAATCAATATTTAAATTAATCAATCCAATCAATACGAGGCGAATGTCGAAGCAGTACCTAAGCCCACGGATCACGGACCGTGCGCGATCTTTCCTTCCTAATCCTTGTTCTCTATTCTCCCCTTATACACATGCCCTACACTACCACACATGTCAGGAGACCCTCGAGAGTTTAGAGCTTGCCCAGTCTGAGGCCCCGTAGGAGAGACAGATAGATGGAGAATGAAACCCAGCAAACCGACTTGTCGACGGATCTCACGTTCCAGCGAGGGAGCAACACCGCCGCATCCTGGGACACAACATGCACTGCACTTACGGAACTAATGATCGAAGTAGTTGACGCTACCGAAAACATTAAACAATCATTCAAACAGGGAAATTACGTGTTGTTTATTATTTATATCCACAATTACAAATCATATTAATTTTATTTTTTGAGAAGATGTGTCTCTATTAAGAAGCACACAAGTAACGGCATTTCATTGCCATTCGATGTATTGTTCCGAAGATAAGACGGAATAAAAATTGGCAAGAGTGAAAAGCTCAGTTTTTCTAAAATTTGAAATATAATTTTTATTGCAAGTATTTGTCAATTTGAAAAAAACTACGTTCAGGCCGATACATTTTCCATGAATAAGTTTCTGGATAAGTACTGTGCCTGGCAGAGTTGTTCAATTGAATATTTTGCCTTCCATAATTTGTTTAAGAATCGAAGAGGTGACATGTTGAAAATCCAGAACGTGGGT